GTGTGTGAGACAGTGAACATTCTTAAGCACAGTAAAGCAAATGTGACGACATCTAATTCTAGGTCAGTTTGCTGTGTTAATTGTTTATTTAACTGAACAAAAGAATTCAAAATTAAAATTTGAACAAGCTTTTAAAAGTGATTGGGCACTATCAATCACATTTACAGTATTTTTTTGTTTTTTTGGGTTTTTTTTTGATATGTGCCCCTAGCAGGAACCAAACCCAGGACTCTGGTCTGCAAGCCAATGCTCCAACCGCTGAGCCAAACCAGCCAGGGCTGCAATATTTTTTTGTAGATGTCTTATCTTCATTTTGTTATTTGTTTCCACTTGGCCTTTTGATCAGGAAGGGTGAATTTGATTGGCACAGGATGTATAGTTTTTCTCAAGACATTACCTGTAGTTTTCCTTAGGATGGATTGTGACATTTTTATCACTTTTGCCACTGAATCAAAGTAGCTTTTTCATTTTGTTTATGATAGGTTTGGTAAATGTCAAATTCCTTGTTAGAAAGTCAGAGTTAACATTCCAAAAGTCAAAGGTGAATATAAATAATGTTCATGTATACACAAAGTTTGAAGTATTTTCATATCACTTTTCCCCATCCTACAAAAATCAAGAAAATCTACTTTCAAATAATTATTTGAAATTTTAAAATGACACAGTATTCTAAAATATGATATCTATCTATATTTCAAGTATAAATAGAAAACATGAACATGTGAAATCAATTTGCTATGACTAATTTTGTAATTTTAAGTTAATTAACCCTGACACCAATTCCTTGGAACTAACTTTTATAAAATTATAGAGGACTTAAAATTAGGTTTCTATCAACTTTAGCTAATTTTTTTTACTACTGTTATCTCCAAGGAAATAAAATTGTCCAAGTGAATTGGTGATTAGTTTGCATCGTTCTTTTCTTTATCCTCTCAATTTTTAGGAAATTACAAACTGGTAGGTTAGTTAACATGCTTTCAAAGGAAGAGAATGGCTCAGCTTCTTATGGAATCAGTGAGTTCAGGATATTTTCATAAATGTAGTGTCACAGACTCAGACACTTTCGGTGGCCAGCCAAATGATATGCATGAGAGATGTGTGCTGGATGAGGACTAAGGGAACTGGAGAACACCTGCTTCTGAGGTGTGAATGTATTTTAATGTCCAATCTCCTAATTTTTGAATGTTGGCAATTATTTTTCTTCAAAGATTGTGTGTGCTCTGTGAACTGCATTTGGCCTGCAAATCGACTGTCTATGAGCCCACAATAATTTCATACTGGAGGCCAGTTCATAAAGCACGATCATTTATAATAAGAAATATAATTGTCAAGTTCATTTGAATTCTCATTTTGGCTGATCTGAGCACTATATTTGAGAGCTTAAACAAACATGAAAAGGTCGCTTGGTGATTTAAAAACCAAAGTTAACAGATTTATAGGATCCTGATAGATAACTTGATCAACTCACTTATTCAACAAATACGTGATGAATGTCTTACATGTACCAGGCACAAGAAATATAACAGAGTACAAGGTACCTACCTAGAAGTGAGAGGTAGTCAATAAATAAGTAAACAAGAAAAACTAGCACTTAGTGATAGTTACCACTCAGAAATAGAGTAATGGGATAGCAGGTGGCTGACTGGTTTCCCTGTACTGCCAGTAAACTTAAATACTCACCCTGGATGCTATCAGATGTCAAATAATTCCTCTACTCCTTTTGTTCTAGGTCCTTCTGTGAGGTCACTTGTGGTATGTCTTGACGAATTGAAGAGCAGTTTATTTTAAATTGGTTACCTTTTAATCTTCTTGACTAGATTTGGGGGTCATGTTGATCCAAGAGGAACTTAGGGAAGCCTCTAATCTAACCAGCAACTTAATTACAATACCTGGGTTAGTTCTGCAGATAGCTAATTCCAAGCATTTTATGTTGAGTCCTTTGAGCTTGTTAGATAGTACTATTTTCTAGCATGTCCCTAAATTCTGGGAATGTATCATTTGAGAATTTCTATCACCTTTTGGGGACAAGGATTAATAACAGCTTGGCAATGAAACTTCCTGCCAGGAGGACAAGGGCTTCCCCCACCCAAAAATGCACATTAACATATACCTTTCAAACCTGCATGTTGAAATGGAGGAACCTTGGAATGTCATGTCAGAAGATCTGGGTTCAAAGCCAGCTTTTTGGCTCTGCTGTGGGTCACCTCTTTGATCTGATAGTCACTTAACTCTCACATGCTCATCTTGAAGACTAACCTCTTGAGGAGTCCTGGGAGGACTAAATGACAGTTTATATTTGAAAGCCAACCCTGCAAAGCTCAATAATATTTATTATGATTATTGGAATGGCCATCAAGGTCATGCTTGCTTCACAATGAGTTGCTATAATACAACAAATGGGTAAAGGGGCAGAGAGAGCCAAACATAGGTAGACCTCTTCTGTAACAGTTGGCCACCAAAGAGCAAATAAATAACATCTTTAAAGTTATATTTAAAGTCAGAAATAGAAATGCAGAATTTATATAATAGTAAGAAGAGAAGGAGGAGGAGTAAATGGCTAATATTTATTGATTACTTTCTCTGTTCCAGGCATGTAAGTAAACACGTTGCATTTATTATCTCTTCTAATGGGGTGAGGAGAGGGAAGAAAAAGTCAAGTTAATGATGTGAACTTGGGAGGGGGTATTACTACGTGCCAATGTGTACTATCACCCCCAAAAGCTCTTTAAATATGAGCAGGTTTTGAGACCCGTTTCTTAGAGGTTTGGGGTCTTCTACAGCCCTTTGGGCCCTTTTGGTTATCTAATCTCCCCCTTCTCAGCAGGAAAGCCCACCATGTTCTGCCCAATGGCCCAGCCCACTGGCAGCATTCAGAAAGAATTGTCCCAAATGTGCTCGTATTTTACCTAGTAAGCACATGTTGCCCATGACAAAAAAAAAAAAAAAAAAAACACTTCAGGTTACATATGTAAACAAATAATGGAAATGCAAAAGAATACATGCAGTAGATGTAGCTTAGCGTGTACCCTTTGGGAAGCAAAAGCATTTATTTCACACACCCCAACCCCCAATAAGACTGGAAATGGATTACTCTATCGAGAATTCCATAAACTTCTCAGAATATGAAATGTGTCCAACAAGTGGGAACACTGGGGTGAAAGGTGTCGCCCCATTCTTGGCTGTGCCTGGGTGCAGAAGGAAATAATGCTAATGCAGGCTTTTGCCGCAGGGCTGGTGTTATTTATATAACGCTGGCTGGGCAAGGTTTGGCGCTGGAGCCTGGGAGCTGAGGGAGAGGTTTGTCTTCACGTGTGCGAATATAGACGTGTGCGCCTGTGCAGTCAGCGTTCGGCGTTCGAAATGTGAATTCAACATCTTGGGGAGGGGGTGGGGAATACCATCACCATCTACGTTTATGATTATGTCACTTGTGTTGGCAATAATCCTTGTGTTGGTAGTACTTGTATAGCATTCATTTGGGAGTGGGGAAGAAATGGCCATTTGAGAGTGGGTGCTGCGCTTAGTTGTGGGTGACCCGACACTGCATGTGACCGACGACCTGTAACTGACAAATGCGTCCCCTTGACCCTACTCCGAGGACTCAAAAATCAACCGTATCTGTATATCAAAGAAGGGCCAGAGGATTGCTTCTCAATGCAGGCGACCCTTGAGCTCCGACCCGGAGCTGGGTGTAGGCAACTGGGCGGCGGGCATCTCTGAGGCGAAGAGAGGTCACCGAAACCAGGAGCACGCCGCGTGGGTGGGGGCACCGAGCGGAGGCGGGAGCCGAGCTGCAGACACAACCCCATTCACACGTTCCGAGCGCACGCCAACTCCTCCGGGATCCCCGATCCACCCGCGTCAGCTGCTCGGCGCGCCTGGATCCCCCGCCCGCGCGGCGCGCAGCGGGTGAGGGGGGGCGGCGGCGATGGGCAGAAGACCCTCGGGCTAGGTGGGCCCAGAGTGTCCCGATTCCCCCGCCCCCATCCCGTGGATCCCGCGGCAGTGGCGGCGCATCCTGGCTGGAGGGGGCGCTCGCGCCCAGGAACCCGGCGCAGCAGGTGTCGCTGTTACCTCCACCTCCACGGGGGGAGAGGGGGCGGGCCGGGGGGCAGGGGAGGAGGAGGAGAGCAGGAGGAGGAGGGAGGTTGGCTCGCGAAGCCGGAGAGCGCGGCCGGCTCGGCAGGTTGGGTCCCGAGCTCGCGCCTTCCGGAAGGCGCCGAGGTCGGATAAATACATCCCGGGCTCCCGGGGATCAGCGGAGGCTGCTCGCACCGCCCGCACCGCCCGCACCGCCCGCACCGCCGTCCTCAGGGCTCCGAGCCGGCCGGCAGAGGCGCGGTGCCCGCTCCTCCTCCTCCCGCGGCCGGCGCGGAGCAGCGGAGAGCGTCGGGCTCGGCCGCCGGCGCTCGGGCCGCAGAGCCGATGAGCAGCGGCGGCTGAGGGCCCGGGCTGGCCTTTGCCCGCCGACTGCCCGGCGCCCAAGCGGGGCCGCAGCGCCCGGGGCGCGGGGTCCGCGCGGGTGACATGGGGGCGGACTGAGGCGCCGGTGGCGGCCGAGCGCTCTCTGTAGAGCCGCGGGCCCTGCTTGGAGGCGGCGGCGGGCGCCTGGCTCGGCGCGCTGTGCCCGGGGCGCCCTCGGGAGCCAACGCTGAGCTCTATGCGCCTCTGCGGGCGCCGCGGGCCCGGGCCATGGCGATAGACCGGCGGCGCGAGGCGGCGGGCGGCGGGCCCGGGAGGCAGCCACCCCTGGGCGAGGAGAACGGCTCCCTGCCTCCCGGGGACGCGGCGGCCTCGGTACCCCTGGGGGGCCGCGCGGGCCCCAGCAGTGGCGGGGACATCCAGCCGCTGCCTTCCCCGCATCCCGCCGGCGGAGGCCCTCACCCGAGCTGCTGCTCGGCGGCGGCCCCGAGCCTCCTGTTGCTGGACTACGACGGGTCGGTGCTGCCCTTTCTCGGGGGCCTGGGCGGGGGCTACCAGAAGACCCTCGTGCTGCTCACCTGGATCCCGGCGCTGTTCATCGGCTTCAGCCAGTTCTCGGACTCCTTCCTTTTGGACCAGCCGAACTTCTGGTGCCGCGAGGCCGGCAAAGACGCCGAGATGGCGGGAGTCACCGCCACCGGCCGATGGGGAGCTTACGACGTGGCCAACTGGAACAGCCCCCCGACCACCCCTTTCTCCACTGCCGCCTGGGGGGCCTCGGGCAACTTTAGCAACAGCAGCGGAGAGGACAGGGGCAATACGCCACCCCTGCCGTCCCCTCCGGGCAGTGGGGACAACACCTCTAACTGCGACTGCCACGCGTGGGACTATGGCATCCGCACAGGCCTCGTCCAAAACGTGGTCAGCAAGGTAAGGGCCGCGACCGCCCAGGCCCCGCGTCCTCCTAAGCCTTTGTCACTCCTAGGTCGCCTCCACCCTTCCCTCCATCCCTCTCCTTACATAGGGAGGTTTAAGCCTCTCTTTACAGCCAGGGACGAAGTCCCTAAAGTGATGCCAGCCTGTGTGTATAGGTATCTCGCATTGACTTAATCTCTTCCCGTCCCCCAAATGAGATGCATTTACTTGGCTGTGAAGCGAGGGCTTTTTGCCGCCCTCCGCAGTGACACTGCGTCCCAACTCTAAGGGGGCACCATAGCCTTTCCTAGTTGGCAACCCAAACTCCTGCCCCAGTGTACATAGGAAAAGAATGCCCCTCCCCCTAAAAGACTAGAACTTCCTTCTCTCACCCTCATTAGGGCAGGAGTGGCCGATTGAGGGTAAGGCCTCTGACCTGTCACCAAGCCTGCCCTGAAGGATATGCCTCATTCAAGGTCTGCTGGCAGGTGCCAGGCCCAGGGCTTTGCTCTTCTGCCTGGCTAGTTGTCCCTATGTCTGCCATAAATATCTATCCATGAGCATGGTGATCCATTCCCAGATATCTCAGCCATCTTCCACTTGCTTTGGAAACAAACTAAAGCCAACTAAGGAACCGAAGTTGTAGCCAGAGAAGCAAAGAGCTTTTGAAAATTTCCTTTCCTCCCTCCCCAGGCCTAGTGAACTCCTAAGATGAGCATATTTGACTTTGACTTTGCCTCCCCAGTGTTTCCTCCAATGATTTCTCAGAATTTTAGTAAACATCATGGAGTATAGGGAGGATGCTAAGAATGTTTTGGTACTGTGAGACCATCACTGCTCTTACTTAGCAGCTGCTTTTGTCAGGCATTGAGACCCTGGTCAGCTTTAGCTGAACCTCCAACTTGCGCCCAGCCCACTGCAGCCCCTCTAGCAGAGGTATTGCATTGTCTGGAATGGAACAGCACGTTTGGTGAGAGATGTGTGGCCAGCATAAAAATGGAGATGAGCAATGTTAGAAAATCAGTGCCCAAGACATCTATAATTTTCTGGATTTCTTAACATATAAGAGATATCTTATGCCAATTTGTCAAGCAATTCATATTTTTTGCCCTGTGTTTTAAATAACTAATTTGCATTTCAAAGTAAATATAGACCTTTTCCTCTACTGGGCAGTTCTGGGCAGAGTTTTAAATGATTTGCTTAAATGTGAGACTGAAATTTAACAGTTTATAATAATCAACGTGTATTCCCCCCACCCCAAATTCGTATTAGTAAATATTTGTAGCTCACAGATGTGTAAGATGAAATTCTTACATCATCATAACCCTTGTTTAAATCTTGGCAAGAAATGATCTGTCCTGTGGGAACTCTGGATTAGCTGTTAAATAGGGAAGATCCTTATAGCTTAGTTCACCCTGACACACACTCCTACCCCTCTAATCAGTCTGGCCTTCCCAAAGGTGTTTCTGTGACTCTGTTTCCCATTTAAGAATAATGATTACAATGACTATTTTAATATTCTGTATTTCTGTGTAAGTAGGGGTTTGGCAACATTTACAAATACATTGAGCCCCTTTTTAAAGTAGAGGAAGAATAAAATAGATCAAAGCAAATCTGGGGTCAGCGGGGAGGGCAAACTTAAAAGTTAGTGGGTGGGATAGACTATCATTAACTTAGTGTGGGGACCCAGGAACAGCTATTCACTCTTTGCCATGGATGGTGGGAGGAAAGAACTAAAATAGTTCTTGAAAACAGGCTATGGAGGCATGTTGGAGAGCTGGAAAATTTTTCTAAGTAAGCACTCAAGAGGGTCAAAAATGGCACCAATGTGTGTAGTATATTCAGGGGGTGCCTGATAAGTCATAGTTACATAGAGTTGCATAGTTACATAGAGCTGACAAGGCAAGACTGGGAGAAGACTCTGGGACAATAGAGAAACATTTTCTTGTAAGATAAAGACTGGAAGGCACATATCGATTTTCATACACAAACAAGATCTAAATAAAGGACTGTCCTTCCACAGTGTTCTGTTCCATAACAAATGCTTTAAAGAGCTTTTAAAGCACACTTGGCATGTACTAAGGCAGACTTTCTCCTCTGTTGGCTGTGCACGTCAGATACACTATCAGATGTACAAACGTGGAATGTATCCTGTGATGGGTGCTGAATTCTAGGGGTTAGGTCAGCTTTGTAAGTAGAAGCAAAAGTGGAAAGTTTGCCTTCGGTCATTGGATGAAAGTTCGGGGTCTGAGAAGTTGCCTTTTGTACCCTCTTCCCGGTCTCCATCCCACTTGCAAATAAGCCTCATGCAATGTCTTTATTGTTAGACTTCCTTCAGCACATATGTGCCCCTATAATATATACCTTATTCTATCCCTAAGTGTTAGGTGGGGAGGGAGATGCAGAAGAACAGGTAAGCATATGTTAGTATATTTATATTATATTATATTATATTATATTATATTATATTATATTATAAATATATTAATATATGTTATAGTATGAACATTTTCATATATATTACCTGTGATGCATTATATATATATATATTTTTTTTTTTATTAATTTTTGTTACAGATGATTCTTTTTTCCCCCACTGATTCCCCCCTCCCCCTCCCCTTCCTGCCCCTTCTCCAGATTGTTGTCCATGTCCACTGTTCATACATACATGCATATAAGTTCTGTGGTTCATCCCTCCCCCACCTCCCCACTCCTTAGGGGATTGTCAGTCTGTACCCCGCTTCCGCATCTCTGGGACTACCCCATTCCTCAAACTGTTATGTTCATTATATTCCACAAATAAGTGAGATCATATGAAATTTGTCTTTCTCTGTTTGGCTTGTTTCACTTAGGATAATACTTTCCAGGTCCCTCCATGTAGTCTCAAAGGATAAGAGATCTTTCTTTCTTACTGCTGCGTAGTACTCCATTGTGTATATGTACCACAGCTTTTTGATGCATTATATATTAAATAGCCTATTATTAATGCACCTACACACATTATAATAGCACCTACACACATGAAACTATCAAGCCAGTTAGAATACCAGGTTATTATATTTAAAAGGGATCATCAGGCTGACAAGCCCCTCTCCCCTCCTCAGTAAGATCCGTGCTATGGATAGCTCTTCCACGGTGGGAAGGGAAGCCCCATGAGCCAGGCAGCTTACTCTATAGTTACTCTTCCTTGCTGAGAGGCCTGTTTTTTGGTGATTATAACCAGGGTCATCTCATGCCTATTTGTGCAACGTGTACCTCTGAATGATTCTTCTTCCTTTATGTAATACATGTTTACATATTTGAGAATGCTTAAGTACATTGTTTCTTTCCTGGCTAAGAAGTCACCAGCTGCTTCAGCCGTTTCCATACATGACAGAAACTGCCCTACTGACTGCTCCACTTGACATGTGTCTCTTAAACATGGAAGCAAGAACACAGCCCGGCAGGCCCTGTGTCTATCAGGAAAGAGGAAGAATGGACATGCAACTTCCATGAATGAAGCTTATAGTTAATGCATTAGGCTTTTAGTAGACACGACACACTTCTAACTATCTTGAGATCACAGTCACCCAACCTTTATGGGGTTATGTTATGTCAGGCTTTTTCAGCCTACTCTTTTGTGACATGGTTCAGGATATAGGTTTCATCTTAATAGTTTTGAATTTTTAGATCTCCCCTCGGATCTGTTTTATTTCTGTTTTTGCCTTGGTCCTTGGTACTTGTTATCTGTTCCAGAATTTTTTGTGCTTTCAAAATGATAATAGTAATAGTAACAATAAACACCAACTTTCTTTTGTGTAGCCCTATAAAGTTTTCAAAATACTTTGATGAATATTTCCTTTCATTAAGAATGTTGTATAATACAAGGCCAGTCTTAACACCGAGCATTATCTTGGAGTTTAAATCAGTTGATACACACTTGAGTGCCCAGGTGTTTTGTACTAGAGCCCAGTGTTCAACTTCTGATGTCATTTATAGCTCTGTGTTTTATCTCTCAATCAGGTTGAAAGATATTGTCAGTGCCTTCTGAAAAGAAGAGCCTACTAAATTCCTGCAGAGTCACTTGGAGGGCAGCGCTGGGGAAACTGAGGTCCGGTAGACCCTGCTCACCTGGCCTCCCTGACCCATCCAGCATGCCCTGTGCAGCCCAGAGGCCAAGTACTTCTGAGATTTTACTCAACAAGGTTGAAAATAACAACTCTGCTGATTTTTTATTAACAACTTGTATAGTTTATTCCACCTTGTTCTGAGTGAATTCTTGTTGGTTTATAATGCTCACTATTTCCTTGAATAGTCCCTAAAATTGTGTGAAAAAAATTAATGTCAGTTAAACTTTCTAAGCTCCAGTCTTTTTCTGTAAATGAAGTTTGGGATGCATGTCTATCTCTCGTCTTCTGATATTTCTTCTGTTCCCCGTGAATTCTCAAAGATTGCTGGCTTTTATCCTGTAAAGACACCTGAGAGTTGTTTAAATACCCTGAGAAATAATTTGTATTCTTTTTCTGGTACTCAAGACAAAAAAGTGACTCAGTATAGCATAATTAGGTAAAAATAATTACAATTTCATTGTAATGGTAATATTTAAGAAAGAACCCACTGATAGGTCATTCTAGTGGTATTTTATTTATTTCATCTAGTATATACAACACAGCAGTGAACATCTTTATGCATATCTATTTTAGAAATTGACAAATAAAAAAATACATGCACACAGTACATAAAGCATGTGGTAAAATAACATTTCTTGTCATCTCTGCCCCCAGTTCCCCTCTTCAGAAGCAACCATGGTTACTGTTTCTTATGTATCCTTCTAGAAATATTCCAAGTATATTTTCATATATATTTTTTTCTCTATCAAACAATAACATTATATACGCTCTTTTATACCCTCGTTTTGGCCTATATTGGGGATGGATGTATATTCGTACATAGAGAGCCCCTAATTCTTTTCTGTGTCTGCACAGTATTCCATTGTGTGACTGGGCCATAATTTATTTAATTAGTCACCTAATAAGGGGGCATTTAGGTTGTTTCCAGTCTTTGCTGTTACACAATATGTAATGAAATCCTGGCACAAATGAAATTCTTAGAAGTGGAGGGTCAAAGTCGGCTGCATTTTTATTTTGATAGATGTTGTCAAAGTGCTCTCTACAGAGATCCATTTCTGAGTTACACTTCCATCAGTAATGTGTGAGGTTCTCTTCCTTCCCCCCATCCTTCCTGAACCAGGGAGTTAACCACACTTTTAAATGTCTCCTAGTTGGATATGTGAGAAGTAATATTTGGTTATGGGTATGGATTTGCATTTATCTTGTTATGAGGGGCTTAAACATCTCCCTGGAAATTGGTTGAGACATTGTGTTTCCTTTTCTTTGAACTGTCTCTTCATGTCCTTTGGCTTCATGTGTGTGCATGTTGGGGGAGCGTTATTTTCTTACTGATATATAGAAGTATGGATGTCTTGGAAATATTTTTCCCCTGGTTTGTTGTTTGTCTTTTGATAGTGTATATGGTGCATTTGTTAAGCAGAAACTTTTGGTTTGGATAGCATCAAATGAATTAATCTTTATATACATACATACTTATATATATATATATATATATAGTTTCTGGTTTTTGTGTTAGATTTAGGGCTTCCTTCATTCTGGAATATTAGAAAAACCCCATCTCTTCTTCTAATAGTTTTATGACCTCAGTACCTCTTTAATTTGGTGTTGCAGGGATCAGTGTTGCTTTTATTGAGCTGTTAGGATAAGTTGCTAAAAAGGGAAATAAATACTAGGCCGAATACTATAACCAGCATTTCACATGCTCAAAGGTGAAGATGGTTGAATGGAAGTAAATTCTAGACTGATGTTTTCCCACATCAGGGTCTTCCAGCTTTCACTTGCTCATAACAATGTCCTAAACCTTGAATTTGTCAGTGGCCCTCAGGGATGGAAAGACTGAAAACTACACAGTTGTTGAGCAGCTCTTCCCATCTCCTTTTAGGAGACAGCACTTGTCTACATGCAGTGGGACTCACCTCCCCTCATCTTCTTGTTCTGGACTAGCTGCAAAGCAACTTCCTTTTTTTAAGTCTTTTGAGTTTTTTGCTAGTCTCAATTCATTTTGGCCATTAGTCCAAGGTAGAATTGAATAAAAAGTTGATGTCAATTAAAAGCATGTTGGCCTCTCTGAAAGCCAGTCCTGGGATCACCACAAACTAGTGGTGTGCTGGAGCTTGGCTTCTACCGACCCTGCACCAGTGTGCACGTTTGTATCCAGCTGCACATTCAGGAACGTCATGTTAGTGGCTTGGAATTGGCCACGGTGGGAGCACTTACACTATGGAAATTGGCACAACAGGGTTTATTTTTTTTCTTCAAAAGCCAGTTATTAAGCAGTTATCACTCCACTGAGCTTGACCCTAAGCCACAACTTTCCTTTTTAAAACAAAATAAAGCAAAAATCTTTCCTTTGCTCTCCTTCCTTTCATAGATATGAGTGCCTATTCTGAGCCAAGAATTGTGCTTTGAGTTGGGGCTAAGCAGGTAGTTCAACTCCCATACAGCCTATAAAATAATAAAGAAGATACACCTTAACAAATTAAATAATAACCTTTTAAATACCAAGAGTTAAATGTATGGAAAGATAGGGAGATGACAGACTAGAAGAGCCTGGCATAGACTGACAGGTCTGCGAGTGAGGCTAATATGAGATGAGCTCTGAGGATTGAGTAGGAGAGGGAGGCAAAAGAGAGTGTGTGTGTGCTTTTTTCAGAGAGAGAGGAAACAGCATCTGCAGGGGCCCTGTGGCAGCAGGAGCCTGGAACTGACAGGCAGCTGTGTAGCTGGGAACATGGGGGTGGGGGGTGGCTTATAAGAACATAGCCATGAGATGAACTCAGCCAGCTGAGGGGATGAATTGGGAGTGGAGGGCAGCGAAGGAGAGCATGTGGGGTGAGAGGAGAACCTAGGACCCAGCCCTGTGCCTCCGATGGAGACTTGAGGCTCTGCAGGTAGGCAGAGGAGAGGGAGGAGGGCATTTGAGATGGAGAGAGGCAGCCTGACCAAAGGTTCCATGGGAAACTGGGCCTGTTTATGCTGCTGAAAGGAGACTGGCTGGCCCAAGGAAGGGTCCTAAGAAGGAGCTGTGGCAAAGATGCTAGAGCTGCAGGTCTAGACCAGACCTTGGGCAAGTGGGCCTGGAACTTGCTCCCAGGCCTATTGGCAGGAAACAGCCCTGGCCATGGAGTGTTCTAATGTTTTCCGTTGCCCTCCTGTTCAAAAGGGGAGGTTGCTGATTAAATTCCACAAGGCTGGAAGACCCTGATGTGGGAAAACATCAGTCTAGAATTTACTTCCATTCAACCATCTTCACCTTTGCCAGATGACTGGTGTAGGTAAAAGGTCGTCCTGGTCACAGCTGACTTATACCATTATTGTCTAGTCCAAAGTCCTCAGTTTATAGATGAGAGGACTGAGTGTTGGAGGACAGAAGCTCTTTGACTAGTCCAAAGCCAACAGAATGCGGGTTAGAATCCGGTTCTCCTCACCCTGCAGGGCATTCTTGCCTCTGCCCCCAGGAAGCATTGGCAGGGCTCTTGCTCTTTCTCTTCGGGTTGTTCCTTTTAACTGGCCCAGCAGAGATGGTCTCCTGCCCAAGTTGGCCAAAACTCTATGCATTGGTTACTGCAAGGTGAAGCGTGGTTGGTGGTACTGTGGCTTTGTGAGGGTGGGCTTGTGCAAACCACCCCTCTGGGCAGACTTCTCTAATCTCTGCTCCTTCTGCCTTCATTTTCCACTTGCCTGGAACTCCACTTTCCTCCTCCCTCTAGCCAGGCAGTTCCTGTTTACCCTTCAGATCAGCCCAGTCCTTATCTGGTGCGCCCAGCACCCAGCCTGTCCCTTCATCAGAGCACTCAATGTATGGTGATCAGAACGGTGTCTGTCCATCCCCTACTGGAGGTATGTCTCCCTGGGCTTTTGCCCACAATGTCATCACCATAAATGTCTGAACTTTCCTGAAAACATGATGTTATGAAAAGAGTGGGAGTTTCTAGTTTGACAGATGTGGGTTCAAGCCTTGACCGAGCTGCTCATGACCAGGTTAAATTTGAGAGCTGCATGAACCTCATCAGCAAACTGGGTCATTGCTCAGCGTACTTGGAAGGCTGTCCTGAGGATAGAATGAGAACAGCTGGGGAGAGCCCTCCCTTCAGGAGCATGGCAAACAGGAAGTGCCTGAGAAATCTCAGATCCTTCTTCCATCTGTGAGGTGAGGACCGGCTGAATAAGTCATCTGAGAAGTGCTTCAATGAGGAGGAGCTGATAGGCCATACCTGGAAGGGTGATTATTTCTTGGGAGCTCCTAGGTGTCTGTCACCTTCCTTTAGAAACTGATCATGGTCTACAGCCATACCACCCTGAACACGCCCAGTCTCGTCTGATCTCAGAAGCTGAGCAGGGTTGGGCCTGGCTAGAATTTGGATGGGAGAAACTGGTCATGTGGTAGCTAGTTGTGCCCTTAAGACAAGATATCTGAATCCAAAACTGACCTGCAGGCCCTTTGGGGTGGAGAACCTTTTTTTTGCCAAAGGCCATTTGGATATTTATAACATCATTTGCAAGCTAGGATATACAAAATTATCAACTTAAAAATCAACGAGCTAGCCTGGCTACTGTGGCCAGTTCAGTTCCTGGTCAGGACACTTGCCCAGGTTGTGGGCCAAATCCCCAGTGGGGGACATGCAGGAGGGAGCCAATCGATGTTCTCTCTCATCGATGTTTCTATCTCTCTCTCCTTTCCTGTCTCTAAAATCAATAAAGATTTAAAAAATCAGCCAGCTATATTTTGTCAGGCTAATTCGGTGAGGCATGTGACAGTTAGCTGGTACTGATTTTGCAAGTATCTTATATGGCCTGCAGGTCCTAGGTTCTCCACCCCTGCAAGGGGTTTGTTTTCAGAGCTCTAATCTGAAGACAAAACAGGCACCAATCACAGGGCTCAGAGGGAATCTGAAAAGGAAAGGACCTTCCTGTGGGCCAAGGCCCTGAGGATGAGAGATCTTAACTGTCTAGATGTTGGGTTAGCTGTGCCAGGTGAAAGCGGATCAGAGAGAAAATGCAATTTTAGAGCTGATGGTAACCTTGAGCTGTAATAGGAGGGATCAGAGAGCTAACATCAGGGCCAGGGGCTCCCT